ATTTATACTTTTTAGTATTAGTATTTTACACTTTAGTTTAGTTTTTCTTTGATTAATAGTGACTTTACTTATTAATCGTTATAAATCTTTTGATTTATTTTATTCTTTTCTTTATATTTTTACCCCTTTTTTAAATTACTTTTGTAATTTAAACCTTTGAATATACAATATCTGTAGATATTGGCACAGATCTTAGAAATCTTTGTTAATATTTATAATTCATTCTCTTTATTTAAATTTAATCACCCCTCTCCCAACATTATATGCTTATAGTGATTCTCAGTTAGAAATGGCACAGCAAGTATGTGATGCTTATTTGTCACCCATTGCAACACGTTGCAACTCCAAAATTTTATAAGCCACAACTAATTGCAACTAGGTGATGCTTTATTTGTCACCATGTTGCAACAGTTGCTGTACCATCTTTATTCTCAGTAAAACCCACTATTCAGAATTATTATTATATTATTATAATTTTATCTTTTCTTTATTCTTTCATAATTTTCTCACTTTGTTCTTATATCTTTAAATTATTATAATTTTATATAAAAACTTATTAGATATCTCTTTTTTTTGTTTAATTATCTTTTTAGTTCAATTTCAAGTTTGTGAATTAATTTAATAATTAATAAACAAATTTATAATATTATTTTAATAATTATTCTAAAATAAAATCAATAGAAATATATAAATTTTTAATTAATTCAGTAAACAAATTTGAAATATAAAAAACAAATACTTAAATCTATTTTAAAGCACCATTAAAAAATATTAAAAAGATAATTTTATATATGATCTTGTTTTTTACTCTAATTTTAATCATAACTTTCATCTTAAAATTAATTTTTAATTATAATATTCATGTAATTACATGGATATAATACTTTAATATATTTTCAGTAGTTATAAAGATATTGCTCTGCAAAGTTATCATTCACAAAATTGGCTATTGATTTATTATATATAAAATTATTAATGAAAATCAACAATTTTGCAGAGCAATATTACTACAACTATTAAATGAAAACTAATGAAAAAATATTATTTTATTTGATCAGTTTTGATAAATAAAATGATATATTTTTTATTTAAATTTTATTTAATAATTATGGAGATATTGCTTTGCAAAGTTGTTGTTCACAAAATCAGTCATTAATTTTCAATAACCAATCATAAACAATAATATTGCAAAATAATATTTCTGCAACCACTGAACGAAATCAAACAAAAAATATACCATTTTATTCGCCAAGACTGATCAATAAAATAGTATTTTTTTTATTAGTTTTCATTTAGTGATTGCAAAAATATTGCTCTATAACCAATTTTTTAAAAATTAATTAAATTTTCCTATTATAAATGTTAAAATTATGTACATATATAATGTACATATAGATTTACAATAATAGATCATCTGATTTGTGAGTATTATTATATCAAATAGTTATTATATCAAGAGTTGACCATAAAAATGTTAAGCAAAAACTAAACAATTTATAAACAAAGAAAATTTCTTTAAGAGTTCTATCTTTATACAAATTGGAATTAATATTACTAAAAGTTTAATAAAACAAACTAAAAAAACTTAACCAAAATCTAATTCAAATACTAATTAAAATACAATTTAATTCAAAACAAATCAACATAAAATCAATACAAACTTAATGTAGAACTTATTGAAACTGTTTAAAACCAAAAATGTGTAACCAAATAATTCAACACAAAATCAAAGTATGGCTTATTTAGAGTAGAGGTCTTCTACTATTTGTACACAAGATTAATCAAGTGAAAGATTTGTTAATAAGTAAATTTAATTACAAATTGACACTTTTTTATTAGAACATAAGTTCTTCTCCAGTGAAATGAATACTAGCGCTAGAGTTAAATGTTAATTTGATGTCAATTTAACATTGAGATCAAATGTCAATTTGATGTTAAAATGTACAAAAAGAATTACCGCTACGGCAACACTGGTATACCCCTATTTTAGTATTCAGCCTAATCTAATAAAAAATGTACCGATAAGTTTATTTGACAGACAATAATAAATTTGCGAAAGCCTTTTACGACCAAAGCAAAATTAATGACCCGATTTCGATTATATAAAAAGCTCTATAAGTTTACTAATATATATCCTATCGGAATTTTTTTCCAATTCAACTTTTTTAGTTATACATAACTGATTCATCAATTGAATCTTTCTCATCATTGTTAATCTCAGCTTCGGTTTTATATTCATTTAATCGTGCTAAAAGTTTCTTCGCTTGTTCATAAATCAGCCCATCTTTCGGCAAAGTTTTTGATGCAAAAATCTTATCCAAATATCTTTCGCTCTTTTTCAAATCAATTTCTTTACCATGTTCACCCTCCATATAAATTTTAGCTAATATACAATCAGCGTCATATCGTCGATTGTTGCTTGCCAATTTCAAATAGTAAATCGCTTTTTTCTGCTGACATGTTTGTTGAAGCAATGCTTTTCCATAATAAGACTGTGCTTTTATAATGTATTCATTTATTGCATTTTTTCCTGATTGTTGTTCTGCATCGGCTGCTTGTTGTATTAATGCAAGACCGCGTTCTTCGTCACGGAGTTTATTGACTTCGCATAAATATTTCCCGACAAAATATGCGCCACGAGGATCTCCTTTTTCAGCATAAGCTTCAAAATAAGGTAATGCCTCTTCATACTTTTTCTCATTATGCATCTTAAATATTTCTTCGAAGCTTGGGAGTGTTATGAATTCTGAAAATGCAGATTGCGAATTATTTGGACTTTCAGAAAGAGATATATTTGACAATACAGACGTAAGAGGTCTTTGGGGAGTCGAGGGCGGAATAGTAAGACAATTCTTTGTTTGAAAATTTTCTTCTTTAAACAATTGATAATTTTTAACTAGGTTGGTGGCGATTACATCAATTTTCGGTCTTCTATCCCCTTGATTGTCCCATGCTTTTTTTATGAATTCCTCGAATTTTGGTGGAGTGTCGTCTGGGATTAATGGACGTGTTCCTGCCATTATTGCATTTTCTAGTTCTAAACTTGTGATTTCGGAAAATGGACTTTTACCATTTGCAGCTATTTCCCAAAGAGTCATTGCAAAACTAGAAGTATGAATACAAAATCGATATTTAATTATATAATGAATTATAGCATATTAACACCAGATGTTGTCAAAAAATACCTATACACATCCATTTGCTTATTAAAAGGAAGCGGTTCATGTTTTATATTATTTATCTCTTTCTCTTTTTCATTAGAAATTTTTCCCCTTTTACTCGTCTGTTTATTAAAGTCATATATTATGTTATTGGTTTTTTCATCATGTTTTCTCCCTTCAACCTCTGATCGAATTTTCTCGGGGGCATTCCACCTTAATTTATATTAAAACATTAATAAATAAAAGACATATCGATATCGATATAATAAACTTACCCAAGTCGATCTGTTGATCTACTGGTAGCAAAATTTGAGAGTTTTGCAGTCAGGTGTTCATCCAATAATACATTTTTACTAAATAGAAATATAGCGATATTTTAAAATTATTAACACTGAGACTAGAATTACCATAGAGCACTGCATATAGTACTATTCAATTTCAAAAACAAGTGTTTTAAATAATACTTTGGGTATTGCATGCAGTGCTGCAATTAATTGACTGCTTACGCTCTAATATTGTGATGTATTACTTCTACGCCGTGGCAAAAACTATCATCATGATGTGCATTCGAGATTCGAGACAAATAAAAAAATTATAGTTATAGTTAGAGAAAATAATAAAATAACACGATCAATTAATAAGAGACGAGTGAGAAAAACAGTATTTACTTTACGGCATTTCCGATTTCTGATGCGATTCTCCACTTGTCAATCCAAAGAATGTTTGGCTTCTTTTGCAAGTAGTCACAAAGATTACCATTTTCAGCCCATTCGGTGACAATATATAAATAATTAGAGTCAACAACGGTGCCATGGCTACGAATTACGTGCGTATCGATATACAGTAAATTAACAACATATTGATTGTTATGAAATAATAAACAAAACTCACAATTTTTCGATATTGTTACAACCAGATAACAATTTTCGAATGACCACTTCTTTTTTTAATTTAGTTTTCAATTTTTCATCAATCTTAGAATATTCATCTACTGTTCTTCTCACAGCAACTGGTTGGCTACGATACATTTTCTTTACTAACGCTTTTCTCATGCCTCTGACAACCTCTTTCTCTGACGGATCATTGGCAATTAAATTTGGGTCAATTCTTGTTTTCTCTATATCTGATAAATGAGCATCAAGTCCTTTAGAGATATTTGAGATTTCTAGTTTATGCATTTGTGTAGACATTTTTGATATTTCATTATAGTTCAATTCTAAATTGAATGCGCTGGTTGCTTGGGTTAATGTATCCATAAATTGTTTTAGCAATTCTTCATTCTATTAAATATATCGTCTAAGTATTCATTTCATTTAATTAAACCGTTAGAAATAAAAAACAATAGCAAATAAATGTTACCTCCTTAGCGGGCTTTCTCAGTTGTTTAATATACATGTACTCTTCTATTTGTTTCAGGATATCAATATACTGCTTGTAAGCTTCTTGAGAGTCGTCATATTGTGGTTTATATTTTTCTAAAGTTGTTTGGCTTATTAGAACTTGCTCAACTAGTGCCTTACAAGGTTCTCGATTATTTTTAAGTTTCTTTGCTTGCTCATCGATTGATTGGGCGATTGATGCAGCGACTTCTAAACTGGGTACTAATTTTGTGCCGATAATTGTAAGGCTTACAGAACTCCCAGAATTACGAGATGATGAAGAACTCGCAGAATTACGAGATGGAGAAGAGGTCGACGTGACGATTTTTTGAGTTCCGGCACCATTCTTATAACACCGACCAAGATTAAGTTGTCCACTAACATTCCTACCTTCTGATTTCAAATACCACTCGAATGCTTTTTTCTCATCTTTTTGTGTTCCTACACCATTTTGATAACAAACCCAAAGATTAAATTGTCCTCTAGCATCTCCACCCTCTGCTGATTTCAAATACCATTCGAATGCTTTTTTCTCGTCTTTTTGAGTTCCTATTCCATTTTGATAACACAAACCAAGATTATATTGTCCTAATGCGTTTCCACCTTCTGCTGACTTCAAATACCACTCGAATGCTTTTTCGTCATTTTTTTGTGTTCGGTAGATAGATCCAAGCAAGAATTGAGCTGAGGCGTTGTTATCCTTTGATAATTTCACATAAATGTTCAATGCTAATGCAATATCCTTTTCAACTATGAATCCAGTTTGATAAAGAAACCCTAAAAGTAGCATATATTGAGCGTTATTTTCCGAATAATCCGGAATTTTAAAAGATTTTTGGCTGCATTCGTAATAAGATTGTAACTCGGCACCTATTTTATCTAAATTTTCCTCTTTGCCGAGTAAGTTATTTAATAGAGCTACTAATTTGTTAGTAATTTTTTCATTTTTATCTTCGGATGCTACATTGATCTTAATATTTGTATCAAAAGTAACATTCATATCAAAATCTAGTTTAACTTCTGGATTACTATCGCTATATGATAAATTTTGGCACGTTGATTCTGATGGCCACTCAAGTTCATTAAGTTGTTGATTTACTTGATAAATATCAGGTCGATTTTCAGGTAAATTGTCCCAACATGCTTGATATAACGCAACGTATTTATCAGGAGTTCCGTGAATTGGTTTCTCTTTTTCATTTAAGGCATATGTATACTGATGTGGAATACGACCGCTAGAGATAACCCATAACAAGACACCGAGGCTGTAAATATCGGATTTTTTGTTGCGTAGAAAGTTTTCTGTATCTCTCAAGAATGCGGGATCGACATAACTTAATACTCCGCACTCTGACATTGAATTTGAATCTGCGCTTGCAAGTTTCGAATAGCCTAAATCCGCAATTTTAATTTTTCCCTTGTGTATGAGAATGTTATTATGATTCTAGCATCCAAAAAATGTCGTAATTAATATTTTATTTAATAAAATTAATTCATTATATGTTACGTACGTCTTACCAAATCGCGATGAATTATGTCTGCATTATGTATACTTCTTAATCCTTGCGCAAGTTGCTTGGCTAAATTTAACTTATCGTTACCAGTTAATTTAGGAAAATTTGTGTCTAAATATTTTTTAAGAGTTCCGCCATCGGCATGTTTCATAACCATCATATATTTTTGCGTATGTGGATCTAATTTAAAAGACATTTTAAGGAAATTCTATTATATTCAATTGTGAAACTAAAACTACATATCTATATATATTTACCTTTAGTGATTCCATAAAGACGAATTATATTTTTGTTGTGGTTAACTTCAATAAGAAATTTTAACTAAGCAATATTTAAACATCAACGTGAATTTTGTAGGTAGTTATTATAGTTATTAGTTTGTTCACTTAATGTAATAAATACCTCTTTTATAAATCCCTTATTTGTTTCTTCGGCGTGAATTTCTTCACTTAGATAGAGACTCTTTAAAGCTACGGTCAAATCTTCGTTTTTCATTTCTGCTCTATAAACTTCACCAAATGCTCCATGTCCAATGACTTTTAAATCAGAAAAATCACTAAAATCGAAAAATTTTATTTGTTTTTCTCTTATTGTAGATTCTATCCATTCATTTCCGATAACGATAAATGAAGACATTTTTACATTCACGTTTGACATTGCCGCCGATTTATGTTATCGTTACATGTACGTACATGTACCAGGAAACGTTTCTACATGTACTTGCATTCGAACCAAGTCCGACACAAGATACAAGAAATGCGAAAAATACGAGAAACAGGCGCCTAAATCTAACTTGAGTACTAATTAAAAACGTCGAGGAAGAAATTTTATATATAACCTATATCTCAGCTCTAACTCTAACCCTAATTCTAAAACCAACCTTTTAATGTTAATTAATATTACAGTAGAATTTACCGAGATCAACAAAACATATGCATCGGATATCATGTGACTGCGCCCTTGAATATTGGTGATGCTCGATCATCAAGTTTTTATGTTACACATCGAATGTAGTAGACTACGTAGACATGGCAGAAAATTTCCAGATTCCGATCTCCGATTCTTATTCCGGTCACATTGGATCACGTGATATTATTATGTGGTACCGTAAAACGCTCTGTAAAGTACTTTCCGGTTTATGCACGGATATTTTTATGGTGCGTATTTTTATCATTTATGTATTAGCGTTAGAAATAACAATCTCGTCAGATACATATTCACAACATTTAAATGAACGTTTAATTAAATTTGGATCAAGAGACATCCACGCAATTTCTACCCATTTAGCGAGTAATGAATATGAAGGTTTTTTATACGGTTTGAAGATGTAAGCTCGTGAATTTCTTCTGACATCCATTGATTATATACGGTGGTGCTCAAAAGTAATGCATCACTGAAACGAAAAAACAAAAAAAGTCAATTTTTAATAATATAAACGCCACAGACATATGAAATTCAGCATATATATAGTTAAATACCTAAATAAACTGCTCACGTAATTTGTCTTTATATACGTCAAACCAGTGATGCATTTCTATTGATCGTTCCTCCCTCAAAAATAAAGTATATAAGCACATCAAAAAAACACAACAAAACAATATACACACTCTATATATAAAATATATCTAAAAATATACTCTTTTATCACATATCATTCAAATTCTCATTGCACTTATCCCCATCGAAAAAAGATTCCAAATTTATACCCTTCTTCAAGAAGAGTATTCTTCTCATTTATTGCAAACCTTCCCAATTCACTGTCATAAGTATAAAGCAAAAAAAAAATACTCATGATATCTTTGTTCTTAGATTCTGAAAAAAGTCTGGTTCAGTTCAAGCTTGAACCAAACTCAACCTGACCAATAAAGTTGTGAATCATAATTAAAGCTACAAATTGGTATAAGAAGTTGATATTGAGAATGAATATTCAAAAAATTATTTAGATTTAAAAAATATTTTTAATTATTATAATTTTAATCTGTTTTAATTATCATATAGTAAATATTTATTTTTGTATAGTAATTATAAACTATAATTCTAAGCAAAGTTATAACCAGAAATAAGATCTACAATTTGGTATAAGATAATTGCGATTAATAAAGAGATATAATAAAATTTAATAAATAAACTTTTAATACTTAGTAAATATTATAATTTGTACTTATAAGTAAAGTTATAGCTCATGTTTAGAGCTACAATTAGTATATAATACTATACTAATTTCAAATTAAACTCAAATCAGACTCAAACTTGAATAATAATTCAGTTTGAGTTCAGTTCAAACTACAAATCTTTCTTGAACTCAAGCCAAAATTCAGTTTAAGCTCAGTTTGAATTTCAAATAGACTTGAATTCAGATAAAATTTCTGTTTAGTTTAGTTCATAAACATACTAGTTGTCCTAGAATTTTTACTAAACATGATGAAAAAATATCATATATCTAATTTCAAATGGTGATTGTTTTATTGTAACTTCTATTCAAAAAAAAATCTGAAGACAAAATTGAAGTTAATACAAGCATAATAAAATAAATATTATATTATAATAATTTTTCTTTGTAAATTAATTGAAAGAAATTTTAATATTTAAATTTAAAAAAAATTATATTAACACTAAACAACATAACTGAAACAAAGTTATCTGGTTTAACAAATTAAAATTTTTAATTTTTATTTAGATAAATATAAATATTACTAAATAAATTACTAAAAAAATATTATATAAAATTCATAGTAAAATTTAATGATGAGAATATAATAATTTGAAATTACTTTTATTCTTTGATATTAGCAATATTATATATATTTATAATAATATAAATAAGAAATTATACTATAAAAACTTAAATAATAAACTTTTAAAACAATTAGATAATATAATATAATATTATTTTTTAATAAGATATCAATTCAAAATATATAACAAATTTTATTTATAAATATTCATATACTTAATTAACTTATTCAATTATTTAATTACAACTCAATTAAGCATTAGTATTTGAAAAGATTATTTTATTTATACTAATACAATATATTTTTAACAAGTTTAATTAAAAGTATAAAGAAATATATTCAAAATATAATTAATATAAAGAATGAATATACTAGTTGATTAAAAATCTTAATTTGCATTTTTTTAATTAAAACAAAAATAATGAATTACTTAATTTAATATAAAAATAGCTTATTTTTATTCTTAAGTTATGAATAAAAAATAAAGTAATTTTTTATATTTAATAACTAAATTAAGTTTAATTATATATTGTTTAATATTATAAATGAGAAGTTAATGCATTAAAAAATTTATCTTTCAAGTAATGCGTTACTTTTAAGTACTACTATAGTGCATAATTAATTTTTAAATATATAATAATAAAAAAAATAAAATATAATAATTAATATTTATATATATCTTTATCTTAAAAATTTTGTTAATAGCAATATTTAATAGTTACAGTTTAGATATTAGTTCTCCAGGAATTATAACAAAATTTGTATTATTTTCAATAAGTTTATATTTAACTGAATTAACTAAATATACACAAAAGGAATTAAAAACTAAAAGATAGTTTTTTAGTTCAAATATTTTCAACTTATCAAAATATTTCTTCTTTATTAATTTAATTTTTTTACTAGGAAGATGAAGCTGTTGGATAGCAGCTGCAAAACTGATAATCTTCTGCTTATATTTTCCTCTAATTATTTACACAAATAAATACATTATTAATAAAGATTTTTTTAGTTTAAAAATACAAAATACAAACTGAAGGTAATTTTGTTTTATCAGTTATATATTCAAAAATCACAATAAAATTTTTTTTTCATTATCTGTAGTTCAAAGACTAATTGTACAAATATATATTTGTTAATTATTATTGAATTTGGTAAATCAAAAGAAAGAAAAGACTCATTTATTTTTTCAATTAAAGATAAAGGATAATTATATTGAATACATTGATTTAAAGAAAACTTTATTTTTTTTCTTCAAATATTATTCAATAATTTTATGATATCAATTATAATTAATCTAAAAAATTATTAAGCCATCTATTTGGAAATCAATTACTTTAAGCAAGTAAAAATATCTTTATATAATTTAAAAATCTTTGATAATATTTTAATTAGATTATTTTTTATTTATTTCATGAATAGAAATTTCATTTTTTATTTTTTTATAATACATAAAAATCTTTAATATTTTTTGTACACATCAGGTTCTTCATAATTTTTTTTTGTTATATTGCTTTTAAAGCACTTTTATTACAGATTATAACTATTTTAAATTAATATATTCATTAAAAAATATTAAGTATTTATATTTCTTTAAATATAAATAACAATAAATTTTCTTATAAATATAATTATAATAAAGATTAATTTAATACTTTGCAAAATAATAATGATAAAACCAGAACATAACGATAAGAATTTTTAAGAATATCGTATATATATACAGTACTGTTACAGATTAGTGACTGATTATAAAAATTAACTGCTAATCTATAACTTGAATGGGAAAAATGAATTAAACTAAAGTTATTTTATTTATTAGTTTTCCAAGGTTCTGTACCAATATCTTCGAATATTATTATATTCAATTACCAGTTTAATTTTATTTATGTGTTTTATAAATATTAATAATGTATTCACTTTTTCTAAACCAAAAGCATAAATTCATAAATCGTAATTATCAAAACAATTATCTCATTTTTCTGAATCAAAGTGACAAATTCTTCAAATTATATTTATCTCACTTTTTTTGAATCAAAGTGGCAAACTCCTTTTTGTAACAATGAATTTAATTATTAGAATGGAGGATGAAAGAGCATTATAATAACTAATTATATACAAGTAAGTAATTATATTTTAAAGTTATTATCAATTCTTTTGCTTATTTTCTAACTATTTTTTTCACTTTTATTATATATATTTTTGGTTTTTTATTTATAATATAATTTATAATATAACTTACACTATAAATTATAGTGAAATTTACAGTAGAATTTACAGTAGAATTTATAATAAAATTTATAGTGTAATTTGAAATATAATTGATAATATAATTGGCAATATAATTTGTGATGTAATTTGTAGTATAATTTGCAATGTAATTTGCAATATAATTTGCAATATAATTTGTAATATAATTTGTAATGTAATTGGAATTAATTAATACAAATAAAAAAACAAAAAAAAGAAAATATATTTCTAAAAGGAGATTGTGTTACTAGTATAACAATATTCTAAAAGTAAGTCTGATTTTTTTAAAAAATAAAATTTTTGATTTATTTTATTTCTGCTTTATATATATATATAAATTTTTTTACTATTAACTAATATATTATTCATTTTTTATATGGCTTCAATATTATCTCAATTTCTTATGATATTAAGCTCACATCATAATCCAAACTAACATATTATATTTTGATTACACTTTCTTTAGAACATGTTTACAATTTTTGAAAAGCTTTTATACTTTAGAATATTATTTTACTAGTCAGATCTAAAGAAATATGTTAATTAGTTTATAATTATTAATATTCCTATTTTGTAATCTTTTTAGAATTAGAGTTAGAGTTAAGCTGAAATACCATATCTTTTCAAATTAATGAGCATAATATATTATGAAAAAAAATAAAATTACTAAAAAAT